GGGCCCAGTTTTCAATTTGGTCAAAGTTGGGGTCCAAAATTAAACTTTGTTTGATTTCAACAAAAATTGAATATATGGGGTCCTTGATATGCTGAATCTAAACATGTATTTAGATTTTAGATTTTTGGCCCAGTTTTCAAGTTGGTCCAAATTGGGGTCCAAAATTAAACTTTGTTTGATTTCAACAAAAATTGAATATATGGGGTTCTTTGATATGCTGAATCTAACCATGTATTTAGATTTTTTATTTGTGGACCCCGCTATCAAATTGGTTCATATTGAGGTCAAAAGGGTCCAAAATTAAACTTTGTTTGATTTCATCAAAAATTGAATTATTGGGGTTCTTTGATATGCCAAATCTAAACGTGTATTTAGATTTTTAATTTTGGGTCCTGTTTTTTAAATTGGTCTCCATTAAGGTCCAAAGGGTCCAAAATTAAACTTAGTTTGATTTTAACAAAAATTGAATTCTTGGGGTTCTTTGATATGCTGAATCTAAACATGTGTTTAGATTTTTGATTATGGGCCCAGTTTTCAATTTGGTCCAAGTTGGGGTCCAAAATTAAACTTTGTTTGATTTCAACAAAAATTGAATATATGGGGTTCTTTGATATGCTGAATCTAAACATGTATTTAGATTTTAGATTTTTGGCCCAGTTTTCAAGTTGGTCCAAATTGGGGTCCAAAATTAAACTTTGTTTGATTTCAACAAAAATTGAATATATGGGGTTCTTTGATATGCTGAATCTTACCATGTATTTAGAATTTTTATTTGTGGGCCCGCTATCAAATTGGTTCATATTGAGGTCAAAAGGGTCCAAAATTAAATTTGTTTGATTTCATCAAAAATTGAATTATTGGGGTTCTTTGATATGCCAAATCTAACCATGTATTTAGATTTTTAATTTTGGGTCCCGTTTTTATTTAAATTGGTCTACATTAAGGTCCAAAGGGTCCAAAATTAAACTTAGTTTGATTTTAACAAAAATTGAATTCTTGGGGTTCTTTGATATGCTGAATCTAAACATGTGTTTAGATTTTTGATTTTGGGCCCAGTTTTCAATTTGTTTAAGTTGGGGTCCAAAATTAAACTTTGTTTGATTTCAACAAAAATTGAATATATGGGGTTCTTTGATATGCTGAATCTAAACATGTATTTAGATTTAAGATTTTTGGCCCAGTTTTCAAGTTGGTCCAAATTGGGGTCCAAAATTAAACTTTGTTTGATTTCAACAAAAATTGAATATATGGGGTTCTTTGATATGCTGAATCTTACCATGGAATTAGATTTTTATACGACCGCAAAAAATTTTTTGTGGTCGTATATTGGTATGACGTTGGCGTCGTCGTCGTCCGGCGTCGTCGTCGTCTGGCGTCGTCCGGCGTCGTCCGAAGACACATTAGTTTTCGCACTCTAACTTTAGTTTAAGTGAATGGATCTTTTTGAAATTTTACCACAAGGTTCAATACCACAAAAGGAAGGTTGGGATTGATTTTGGGGGTTATGGTAATAACAGTAAAGGAATTAGGGGCCAAAAAGGGGCCAAAAATAAGCATTTTTGTAACTTCCAGACATAACTTGTGTATTAGTGTATGGATCTCTCTGACATTGTACCACAAGGTTCCATATCACTAAAGGAATGCTGGGATTGATTTTGGGGGTAATTGCCTCCAAATTTTAGGAATTAGGGGCCAAAAAAGGGGCAAAAAACAAGCATTTTTCTAGTTTCATGACAATAACTTGTGTGTAAGTGTATGGATCTTTCTGAAATTGTACTACAAGGTTCCATATCACAAAGGGAAAGCTGGGTTTGAGTTTGGGGGTAATTGCCCTAAACGTTTAGGAATTTGGGGCCAAAAAGGGGCCAAAAACACATTTTTTTCTAGTTTCCAGACAATAACTTGTGTTCAAGTGTATGGATCTCTCTGAAATTGTACTGCAAGGTACCATACCACAAAGGGAAGGCTGGGATTGAGTTTGGGGGTGATGAATCATAATGGGGGTTCAAAAAATTTTGGGGGGGGATTTATTTTTTTTTCCTTTTTTTTCTTTTTTTCCTTTTTTGTTTCTTTTAAAATTTTCCATTTTAAGTTGGTTATTTCTGATTTATATTTAAAATCAAATAATAATGATATGGTAGGAGATACACACCAAACAGGATGTGTAAATTATTATATAATAAGTATTGTGCAATAGCAAGAAATTTTCAATTGCACAGTATTGCACAATAGCAAGAAATCTTCAATTGCACAGTATTGCGCAATAGCAAGAAATCTTCAATTGCATAGTATTGCGCAATAGCAAGAAATATCCAATAGCACAATATTGCGCAATAGCAAGAAATTGTCAATTGTACAGTATTGCGCAATAGCAAGAAATATTTAATAGCACAGGATTGTGCAAAAGAAGATACTTCCTATAAATTGCTTATTTCTTGACCAATTTCAATGGGGTTTTATTCTTGATTTCATGGGGTTCTTTAATATGCTGAATCTAACTGTGTATTTAGTTTTTGGATTTTGGGCCCCGTTTTTAAATTGGTCCACATTGAGGTCCAAAGGGTCCAAAATTAAACTTTGTTTGATTTCATCAAAAATTGAATTATTGGGGTTCTTTGATATGCCGAATCTAACTGTGTATTTAGATTCTTAAATTTTGGTTCCGTTTTCAAATTGGTCTACATTAAGGTCCAAAGGGTCCAAAATTAAACTTAGTTTGATTTTAACAAAAATTGAATTCTTAGGGTTCTTTGATATGCTGAATCTAAACATGTATTTAGATTTTTGATTATGGGCCCAGTTTTCAAGTTGGTCCAAATCGGGGTCCAAAATTAAACTTTGTTTGATTTCAACAAAAATTGAATATATGGGGTTCTTTGATATGCTGAATCTAACCATGTATTTAGATTTTTGATTTTTGGGCCCCGTTATCAACTTTGTCCACATTGAGGTCAAAAGGGTCCAAAATTAAACTTTGTTTGATTTCATCAAAAATTTAATTATTGGGGTTCTTTGATATGCCGAATCTAACCGTGTATTTAGATTCTTAATTTTTGGTTCCGTTTTCAAATTGGTCTACATTAAGGTCCAAAGGGTCCAAAATTAAACTTAGTTTGATTTTAACAAAAATTGAATTCTAAGGGTTCTTTGATATGCTGAATCTAAACATGTATTTAGATTTTTGATTATGGGCCCAGTTTTCAAGTTGGTCCAAATCGGGGTCCAAAATTAAACTTTGTTTGATTTCAACAAAAATTGAATATATGGGGTTCTTTGATATGCTGAATCTAACCATGTATTTAGATTTTTGATTTTTGGGCCCTGTTATCAACTTTGTCCACATTGAGGTCAAAAGGGTCCAAAATTAAACTTTGTTTGATTTCATCAAAAATTGAATTCTTGGGGTTCTTTGATATGCTGAATCTAACCATGTATTTAGATTTTGGATATTGGACCATAATAGGTGAATGTCCAATTTAAAATTTTTAAGTTCTTAGACCACATTCAATCTGTGTTAGAAACCAATGCTGTGTCAAATATTTAATCACAATCCAAATCCAAAGCTGTATCAAGCTTGAATGTTGTGTCCATACTCCCCCCAACTGTTCAGGGTTCGACCTCTGCGGTCGTATCAAGCTGCGCCCCGCGGAGCATTTTATTTATTTGTGGGCCCGCTATCAAATTGGTTCATATTGAGGTCAAAAGGGTCCAAAATTAAACTTTGTTTGATTTCATCAAAAATTGAATTATTGGGGTTCTTTGATATGCCAAATCTAACCGTGTATTTAGATTTTTAATTTTGGGTCCTGTTTTTTAAATTGGTCTACATTAAGGTGCAAAGGGTCCAAAATTAAACTTAGTTTGATTTTAACAAAAATTGAATTCTTGGGGTACTTTGATATGCTGAATCTAAACATGTGTTTAGATTTTTGATTATGGGACCAGTTTTCAAGTTGGTCCAAGTTGGGGTCCAAAATTAAACTTTGTTTGATTTCAACAAAAATTGAATATATGGGGTTCTTTGATATGCTGAATCTAACTATGTATTTAGATTTTTTATTTGTGGACCCCGCTATCAAATTGGTTCATATTGAGGTCAAAAGGGTCCAAAATTAAACTTTGTTTGATTTCATCAAAAATTGAATTATTGGGGTTCTTTGATATGCCAAATCTAAACGTGTATTTAGATTTTTAATTTTGGGTCCCGTTTTTTAAATTGGTCTACATTAAGGTCCAAAGGGTCCAAAATTAAACTTAGTTTGATTTAAACAAAAATTGAATTCTTGGGGTTCTTTGATATGCTGAATCTAAACATGTGTTTAGATTTTTGATTATGGGCCCAGTTTTCAATTTGGTCCAAGTTGGGGTCCAAAATTAAACTTTGTTTGATTTCAACAAAAATTGAATATATGGGGTTCTTTGATATGCTGAATCTAAACATGTATTTAGATTTTAGATTTTTGGCCCGGTTTTCAAGTTGGTCCAAAATTAAACTTTGTTTGATTTCAACAAAAATTGAATATATGGGGTTCTTTGATATGCTGAATCTTACCATGTATTTAGAATTTTTATTTGTGGGCCCGCTATCAAATTGGTTCATATTGAGGTCAAAAGGGTCCAAATTAAACTTTGTTTGATTTCATCAAAAATTGAATTATTGGGGTTCTTTGATATGCCAAATCTAACCGTGTATTTAGATTTTTAATTTAGGGTCCCTTTTTTTAAATTGGTCTACATTAAGGTCCAAAGGGTCCAAAATTAAACTTAGTTTGATTTTAACAAAAATTGAATTCTTGGGGTTCTTTGATATGCTGAATCTAAACATGTGTTTAGATTTTTGATTTTGGGCCCAGTTTTCAATTTGTTTAAGTTGGGGTCCAAAATTAAACTTTGTTTGATTTCAACAAAAATTGAATATATGGGGTTCTATGATATGCTGAATCTAAACATGTATTTAGATTTTGATTTTTGGCCCAGTTTTCAAGTTGGTCCAAATTGGGGTCGAAAATTAAACTTTGTTTGATTTCAACAAAAATTGAATATATGGGGTTCTTTGATATGCTGAATCTTACCATGGATTTAGATTTTTTATTTGTGGGCCTGCTATCAAATTGGTTCATATTGAGGTCAAAAGGGTCCAAAATTAAACTTTGTTTGATTTCATCAAAAATTGAATTATTGGGGTTCTTTGATATGCCAAATCTAACCGTGTATTTAGATTTTTAATTTTGGGTCCTGTTTTTTAAATTGGTCTACATTAAGGTCCAAAGGGTCCAAAATTAAACTTAGTTTGATTTTAACAAAAATTGAATTCTTGGGGTACTTTGATATGCTGAATCTAAACATGTGTTTAGATTTTTGATTATGGGACCAGTTTTCAAGTTTGTCCAAGTTGGGGTCCAAAATTAAACTTTGTTTGATTTCAACAAAAATTGAATATATGGGGTTCTTTGATATGCTGAATCTAACCATGTATTTTGATTTTGGACATTGGACCATAATAGGTTAATTAAAAAAATTGAAGTTCTTAGACCACATTCTTTCTGTGTCAAAACCTATGCTGTGTCAAATATTTAATAACAATCCAAATTCAGAGCTGTATCAAGCTTGAATGTTGTGTCCATACTTGCCCCAACTGTTCAGGGTTCGACCTCTGCGGTCGTATCAAGCTGCGCCCAGCGAAGCATTTTATTGGTTATTATCTTGAATATTATTATAGATAGAGATAAACTGTAAACAGCAATAATGTTCAGCAAAGTAAGATCTACAAATACAAATAAGTCAACATTCCAAAATTGTCAATAGACCCCTTAAGGAGTTATTGCCCTTTAAAGTCAATTTTTCAAGTTTTTTGTAATTTTTACAAAAATCTTCTCCTCTGAAACTACTGAGATAAATTTATCCATACTTGGCCACAATCATCATTTGGGTATCAAGTTTAAAAAATGTGTCTGATGACCTTGCAAACCAACCAACATGGACGACATGGCTAAAAATAGAACATAGGAGTAAAATGCCGTTTTTGGCTTATATCTCTGAAACTAAAGCAAAAGTATAATGGTTACATTATTTCATGCATCAATTGTAAACAAAAATATCAGGTGAGCGACACAGGCTCCTTGGAGCCTTTAGTTTGGGTAAGGCTGTCGTTTATATCTAAATATTAATGAAAAGATCTCTAGATGAGGCTATTTTGTCAGTTTTTATGTTTTGCAGTAAATGTAAGAAGTGTCAAGCCCTAATTTCACATTATTAATGACAAAAAAAGATACTGATTGAAGTTATAAATGTATAGACATAGGCATTAATTTTATTCAATGGATATATGTTTTATAGAAAATTTTGTTTTGGAGGTAAGATACAGATAAGATCTATTTTTAAAGCCTCACTGGTAATTTTATTGAACCTGTAACTAAGGCAACATGAATTATTATACTGGTTGCTGGTATAGAAGATAAATATGCAAGATAGTTAAATATTTCTATAACAAGGTACATTGTGTATTATGATGCAAAATACCCAAAATTTTTATGAATCTCTCTCTTTTGAGAAAGGTGAACTTTTGTTTTTGTCATAAGACATTAAAGACTTTAAAATGCCAATTTTTATTAACCATTACAACTAGGTCATTTCTTGTTGATGAAATATGTCTTGCTAGCAGAGTAATTCCAGTCTACTACTGCACTTTGATTTTTTGTTTATTCTTAAAACAGTTGTTGTAAAGATCACAATTATTTCTCTAACAATATGGCCAATAATAATTTGGTTTAATGGACCAATTTACTTTTAGATGTGACTTTTTTCAATGCATACAGACATGATTTAAATTTTATAGGTGTATATCTTCTTTTCCAGTAACAGAAACTTCAGCATCATTAAAGGGGTTGAAGAACAGTTCCAGTTGTCCAACTGATTTTCCAACACTGAAAGAACAAAAGGCAGAAAAGGCAAAAATCCAGACAGGTAAATGATCTTTAAATGACCCTCCAAAGTGACCAGGGATACAATCATTTTGCTTCACTATTTTTATCTCAAGGTCCACAGAAATTATGACCTTTCTGGAATAAATTGCTCATTTTTTTTAGCAATTTCAATGGGGTTTAATTCCAAAGTCTTGAATTCTTGGGAGTCTTTAATATGCTGAATCTAATTGGGTATTTAATATTTCGATTTTAGGGTCTGTTTTTGAAATTTGAAATGATTCATATTAAGGTCCAAAGGGTCCAAAATTAAACTTTGTTTGAATTCTTTAAAAACTAGATTATTGGTGTTCCTTGATATGCTGAATCTAATTGTGTATTTAGATTTTTTTAATTTTGAGATCTGTCTTCAAATTGGTCTACATTAAGGTCCAAAGGGTCCAACATACAACTTTTTTTGATTTAAAAAAAAATATTCTTGGGGTTATTTGATACGCTGAATCTAAGCATGTATTTAGATTTTTGATTTGGGAAATGGTCGGCCCACATTAAGGTCAAAAGGGTCCAAAATTAAACTTTGTTTGATTATAAAGAAAAAAGAATGGTTGGGGTTCTTTGATATGCTGAATCTAAGGGTGTATTTAGATATTTGATTTTGGGCACAGTATTCAAGATGCACTAAATTGGGGTCCAAAATTGAACATTATTTGATTTCATCAAAAATTAAATTGTTTGTGTTATTTGCTATGGTCAATCCAACAGTGTTTCAGATTTTTAGATTTTGTGCTTGGTTTTCAAAGTTGGTCCAAATAAAACTTTGTTTGATTTCTTCAAAAATTAAATCATTGGTGTTCTTTAATGTGTGCAATCTAACAGTGTTGTAAATTTTTGATTTTTGGTCCATTTTTTAAACTGGACCCCATAAAGGTCCAAATTATCCAAAATAAAACTTAGTTTGATTTTAACAAAAAATTAAACAATGTGGTTATTTGATATGAGGAGTCCAACCATGTATTTAGAAATTGAATATTGGACCATAATTGGTAAATGTCAAATTTTGAAATTATTTAAGAACTTATACCACATTCATTCTGTGACAGAAATCATATCTAATTTTAGAGAACTATTTTTATACGACCACAAAAAAATTTTTGTGGTCGTATATTGGAATGACGTTGGCGTCGTCGTTGTCGTCGTCGTCGTCCGAAGACAAATTAGTTTTCGCACTCTAACTTTAGTTTAAGTGAATGGATCTCTATGAAATTTTACCGTAAGGTTCAATACCACAAAAGGAAGGTGGGGATTGATTTTGGAGGTTATGGTACCAACAGTTAAGGAATTAGGAGCCAAAAAGGGGCCAAAAATAAGCATTTTTGTAACTTCCAGACATAACTTGTGTGTAAGTGTATGGATCTCTTTGACATTGTACCACAAGGTTCCATATCACAAAGGGAATGCTGGGATTGATTTTGGGGGTAATTGCCTCCAAATTTTAGGAATTAGGGGCCAAAAAGGGGCAAAAAACAAGCATTTTTATACGCCCGTCAAATTTTTGACGGGACGTATTATGTTATACAAATGTCCGGCGTCCGTCCGTCTGTCTGTCCGTCTGTCTGTCCGGCGTAAACATGTCGCACCGTAACTTGAGAATGACTTATCCAAATTTCATGAAACTTAACATAGTTGTTTCTTATGATGGTCAAACGATCTGTATACTTTTTGGTGAAAATAAGATTAAAACTTTTTGAGTTACAGGACTTAGTAACTAAAACAGGTGTGTGTTTTTTTTTCACATGTCGCACCGTATCTCAAAAACAATTTATGATTATTGCTTAAAACTTTACACACTCCTTAGTTATATTTATCTTAAGATCTGTATACTTTTTGGTGATGATTCAAAATTTTATTTTAGAGATATTGAGTATTTTGTTAAAAAAGGGGGAGGGGTTTTTCACATGTCGCGCCGTATCTCAAAAACAGTTTATGATTATTGCTTAAAACTTTACACACTTCTTAGTTATATTAACCTTAAGATCTGTATACTCTTTGGTGATGATTCAAAATTTTATTTTTGAGTTATTGAGTATTTTGTAAAAAAAGGGGGAGGGGTTTTTCACATGTCGCGCCGTATCTCTAAAACGATTTATGATTATTGCTTAAAATTTTACACACTTCTTAGTTATATTAATCTAATGATCTGTATACTTTTTGGTTTTGATTCAAAATTTTATTTTTGAGATATTGATTTTTTTTTTTTTTTTTAAAAGGGGGGGTTTTCACATGTCGCGCCGTATCTCAAAAACGATTTATGATTATTGCTTAAAATTTTACACACTTCTTAGTTATATTAATCTAAAGATCTGTATACTTTTTGGTTTTGATTCAAAATTTTATTTTAGAGATATTGAGTTTTTTGTAAAAAAAAAGGGGGGGTTTTCGCATGTCACGCCGTATGTCAGAAACTATTTATGCTTATTGCATAAAAATTCACACACAAGACGACGGGCGTATCATGCACTCATGGCGAAGCTGTTTATTCTAGTTTCCAGACAATAACTTGTGTTCAAGTGTATGGATCTCTCTGAAAACAATTGTACTGCAAGGTACCATACCACAAAGGAAAGGCTGGGATTGATTTTGGGGGTAATTCCCTCAAAATTTTAGGAATTAGGGGCCATAAAAGGGCAAAAAAACAAACATTTTTCTAGTTTCAGGACAATAACTTGTGTGTAAGTGTATGGATCTTTATGAAATTGTACTGCAAGGTTCCATATCACAAAGGGAAAGCAGGGTTTGAGTTTGGGGGTAATTGCTCTAAACGTTAAGGAATTTGGGGCCAAAAAGGGGCCAAAAAACTAGCATTTTTCTAGTTTCCAGACAATAACTTGTGTTCAAGTGTATGGATCTCTCTGAAATTGTACTGCAAGGTACCATACCACAAAGGGAAAGCTGGGATTGAGTTTGGGGGTGATGAATCATAAGGGGGTTCAAAAAATTTGGGGGGGGGGATTTTTTTTTCCTTTTTTTTCTTTAAAATTTTCCATTTTAAATTGGTTATTTCTGATTTATATATAAAAGCAAATAATAATGATATGGTTTGAATAGGTAAATTGAAAATTTTTAAGTTCTTAGACCACTTTCATTCTGTGTCAGAATCCTATGCTGTGTCAAATATTTAATTACAATCCAAATTCAGTGCTGTATCAAGCTTGAATGTTGTGTCCATACTTGCCCCAACTGTTCAGGGTTCGACCTCTGCGTTCGTATCAAGCTGCGCCCCAGCGGAGCATTTTATTGTGGTTTACATCACTGGCTCATGGAAAATAAATTGGTTCACAGACAATAACTTTAGTATAAGTGTATGGATGTGTAAGAAATTTTAGCACAAGGTTCCATACCACAATAGGAGGGTTGGGATATTTAATAGTTAATCAAGCTCTACATTTATAGATTTATTGTAAGCTAATAGAAATTTTAAATTGAGTCATAGTTTAAAATATATTTGCTGATTCAGATACATTAATTGTGGTGATGATTGTGTATGCATTGTGTTCTATTTAAAGATTGTTAACATGTTTGAACATTTTCTTATGGTTGAAGATTCCCTTGGAAATTAAAATAAACCATTGTCCATTTATTGAAGTGGAAGTTGTATGTAAGTGAAGTTTTTAAATACAATTGTGCCATACATTATGTTATGTTAAATCTAAATAAAAAAAAATGTTGTTTTTATACGACCGCAAAAAATTTTTGCGGTTGTATATTGGTATGATGTTGGCGTCATCGTCGTCGTCGCTGTCAGACACATTGGTTTTCGCACAATAACTTTAGTTTAAGTGAATGGATCTATATGAAATTTAAACATAAGGTTTATAACCACATAAGGAAGGTTGGGATTGATTTTGGGGGTTATGGTCCGAACAGTTTAGGAATTAAGGGCCAAAAAGGGGCCCAAATAAGCATTTTTCTAGTTTCATGACAATAACTTGTGGAACAGTGTATGGATCTCTCTGAAATTATACCACAAGTTTCCATACCACAAAGGGATGGTTAGGATTGGCTTTGGGGGGTTATGGCTCAACCGCTTAGGAATTAGGGGAAAAAAGTGAGAGAAAAAAACAAGGGTGTCCTGGTTAATGGACAATTACTTAAGTACAAATTACAGTGTAAGGGAGGTAATTCAAAAACTACTTTGAATTACCTCCCTTAAACTGCTTTTAAATTATGTATAAAGAATTTTTTGTATTGTCTTGAGGTGATTTGCTGTCAATTTTTCTCCTCGAGATTTCAGAAATCAAAAAGAAAATCCTTCAATTTTTTTTTTTTGAAAATAAGGAGGGGAAGTCAATTCACAACAGCATAGTGTATTGCACAAAAGCAAAAAATTTAATATAAATTCAAATCATATAACAAATTCTAAGTTCTCTGACTACAGTTATTCTGTGTCAGAAACCTATTATGTGTCAAATATTTAATTACAATCCAAATTCAGACCTGTATCAAGCGCGAATATTATGTCCATTTTTGCCCCAACTGTTCAGGGTTGGACCTCTGCGGTCGTATCCAGCTGCGCTAGGCGAAGCAATTTATTTTAGATAATAATCTATTTTTATACGACCGCAAATTTTTTTTTTATATTGGTATGACTTTGGCGTCGTCGTCGTCCAAAGACACATTGGTTTTCACACTCTAACTTTGGTTTGAGTAAATGGATCTCTATGAAATTTTACCATAAGGTTCAATACCACAAAAGGAAGGTTGGGATTGCTTTTGGGGGTTATGGTACCAACGGTTAAGGAATAAGGGGCCAAAAAGGGGCCAAAAATAAGCATTTTTATATGACCGCAAACAAATTTTTGTGGTCGTATGTTGGTATGACGTTGGCGTCATCGTCGTCCGAAGACACATTAGTTTTCGCACTCTAACTTTAGTTTAAGTGAATTGATCTCAATGAAATTTTACCATAAGGTTCAATACCACAAAAGGAAGGTGGGGATTGATTTTGGGGGTTATGGTACCAACAGTTAAGGAATTACGGGCCAAAAAGGGGCCAAAATAGAAGCATTTTTGTAACTTCCAGACATAACTTGTGTGTAAGTTTATGGATCTCTCTGACATTGTACCATAAGGTTCCATATCACAAAGGGAATGCTGGGATTGATTTTGTGGGTAATTGCCTCCAAATTTTAGGAATTAGTGGCCAAAAAGGGGCAAAAAACAAGCATTTTTCTAGTTTCATGACAATAACTTGTGTGTAAGTGTATGGATCTCTCTGACTTTGTATCACAAGGTTCCATATCACAAAGGGAATGCTGAGATTGATTTTGGGGGTAATTCCCTCCAAATTTTAGGAATTAGGGGCCAAAAAGGGGCAAAAAAACAAGCATTTTTCTAGTTTTATGACAATAACTTGTGTGAAAGTGTATGGATCTTTTTGAAATTGTACTACAAGGTTCCATATCACAAAGGGAAAGCTGGAATTGAGTTTGGGGGTAATTGCCCGAAACATTTAGGAATTGGGGGCCAAAAAGGGGCCAAAAATAAGCATTTTTCTAGTTTCCAGACAATAACTTGTGTTCAAGTGTATGGATCTCTCTGAAATTGTACTGCAAGGTACCATACCACAAAGGGAAAGCTGGGATTGAGTTTGGGGGTGATGAATCAAAAGGGGGTTCAATAAAAAATTTGGGGGGGATTTTTTTTTTCCTTTTTTTTCTTTAAAAGTTTCCATTTTAAATTGGTTATTTCTGATTTATATATAAAAGCAAGTAATAATGATATGGTTTGAATAGGTCAATTAAAAATTTTTAAGTTCTTAGACCACTTTCATTCTGTGTCAGAATCCTATGCTGTGTCAAATATTTAATTACAATCCAAATTCAGTGCTGTATCAAGCTTGAATGTTGTGTCCATACTTGCCCCAACTGTTCAGGGTTCGACCTCTGTGGTCGTATCAAGCTGCGCCCCAGCGGAGCATTTTATTTTAAAACTTATACTATAGGTTAATATCAGCAATATCTCTAACAAGTTCTATAATGGTGGTTGATTGATTTTTTAGGCAATTAAGCTGCCTTATGCTAGCACCCTAGATTTGTGTTCTTCCCAATGAATGCTGAAAAAAGTGCTACTGTTATAATCTAGCAGGCTGATGTGTTATTTATAACTAATTGGACATTTTTTTCATACTTTTAATTCTAGAATACAAAAAATATAACCAGAATAACCTTAAATGATCGTCGAACAACCCATAATATTTGGAAGTTGCACATAGTAAATAGTGCTCAATAGAAATCTGTACGTAGTTTATATTATCCCCTGTGCTTTTGGCACAGGTGTCAAAGAACAATATTGTATGAAATATTTCATCGCCGAAAATCTGTAATTACAAGTCGTTTATATTTCCCAAATGGCAAACTGCGCAGGAATATTGTTCATGTACAACAAATCTCTATGATAGAGGAAATAAAGTTATATATCTAAGTTGGCGGTAATTTTACAACTTATCTTGCCAAATAAGGTTGTTGTTTTATTAATGAAACAGATCCAGAAATCGACGTCGATGGGTTGTTTGAAGTCATGTGGACAATTCGTCCCCGAGACAAGTCAGACTGAATCCACTCAAACCGTCTAAGAAGACAACTTGGACCGCTTGTCAGATTTACTTAGGGTTTCATAAAATGTTAGACTTACATGTCTAGCGGAGCCATTAATCTTTTGTGTGTGCATTGGGGTCTATATAGGGGTATTTTGAGGGGCCTAAAGGAGGGATGGGTTTACTGTAGAACCCTATGGGGTTTTATTTTTTATACAACCGCAAAAAATTTTTGCGGTCATATATTGGTATGACGTTGGCGGCGTCGTCGTCGTCGTCGTCCGAAGACACATTGGTTTTCGCACTCTAACTTTAGTTTAAGTGAATGGATCTCTTTGAAATTTTACCATAAAGTTCAATACCACAAAAGGAAGGTGGGGATTGATTTTGGGGGTTATGGTACCAACAGTTAAGGAATTAGGGGCCAAAAATAAGCATTTTCTAGTTTCCAGACAATAACTGTGGAACGGTGTATGGATCTCTCTGAAATTATACTACAAGTTTCCATACCACAAAGGGATGGTTAGGATTTGCTTTGGGGGGTTATGGCTCAAACCTTTTAGGAATTAGGGGCAAAAAAGGGGGAAAAACAAGGTTGTCCTGGTTAATGGACAAATACTTTAGTACAAAACATAATTTAAAGCAGTGTAAGGGAGATAAATCAAATACATCATTGAAATTATCTCCCTTACACTGCTTTTAAATTATGTATCAAGTAATGGTTAATGAACAATTAAGATTATTTAAAACAGTGTAAGGGAGGTAATCCAAATACAACGTTTTGGTTACTTCTCTTACACTGCTTTTAAATTATGTTTAAAGAAATGCATATTTATAAAGGAAGACCAGTAAAAATATCTGCAAATGTTGCATCTTTTTTTTTTACAAAAAAATCCATATGAAAGATTTGACACTATATTTTAAATTCTATTATAAAATAGATTAAGTTAGCACTATGGTAAATTTAAATGGGTAATTATGGGTGCAAACTCCATTGGAAATTTGAATTGAGATTATGACCATATCTTGAGGGAAAGAATTTTTTGGGGAAAAAAGGGGGGGGGGGGAAGAAATTGTGGGGGGTTAATTTTTTCTCATTGCAGATTTCAGAAGTTAAAAAGAATTATTCTTCAAATATTATTTTTTTTTCAAATTTCAAATATTGAAAAATTTCAAGAAGTAATCTTTAATTGCACAGTATGACGCATTAGATTTGTAAAATCTTTGACCACATTTATTTATTTGTTATGCCGAATCTAACCGTGTATTTAGTTTTTTAATTTTGGGTCCAGTTTTCAAATTGGTCTACATTAAGGTCCAAAGGGTCAAAAATTAAACCTTGTTTGATTTTAACAAAAATTGAATATATGGGATTCTTTGATATGCTGAATCTAAACATGTATTTAGATTTTTGATTTTTGGCCCAGTTTTCAAGTTGGTCCAAATTGGGGTCCAAAATTAAACTTTGTTTGATTTCAACAAAAATTGAATATATGGGGTTCTTTGATATGCTGAATCTAACCATGTATTTAGATTTTTTATTTGTGGACCCCGCTATCAAATTGGTTCATATTGAGGTCAAAAGGGTCCAAAATTAAACTTTGTTTGATTTCATCTAGAATTGAATTATTGGGGTTCTTTGATATGCCAAATCTAACCATGTATTTAGATTTTTAATTTTGGGTCCTGTTTTTTAAATTGGTCTACATTAAGGTCCAAAGGGTCCAAAATTAAACTTAGTTTGATTTTAACAAAAATTGAATTCTTGGGGTTCTTTGATATGCTGAATCTAAACATGTGTTTAGATTTTTGATTATGGGCCCAGTTTTCAAGTTGGTCCAAGTTGGGGTCCAAAATTAAACTTTTTTTGATTTCAACAAAAATTGAATATATGGGGTTCTTTGCTATGCTGAATCTAACCATGTATTTAGATTTTTTATTTGTGGACCCCGCTATCAATTGGTTCATATTGAGGTCAAAAGGGTCCAAAATTAAACTTCGATTTCATCAAAAATTGAATTCTTGGGGTTCTTTGATATGCCAAATCTAACCGTGTATTTAGATTTTTAATTTTGGGTCCTGTTTTTTAAATTGGTCTACATTAAGGTCCAAAGGGTCCAAAATTAAACTTAGTTTGATTTTAATGAAAATTGAATTCTTGGGGTTCTTTGATATGCTGAATCTAAACATGTGTTTAGATTTTTGATTTTGGGCCCAGTTTTCAAGTTGGGGTCCAAAATTAAACTTTGTTTGATTTCAACAAAAATTGAATATATGGGGTTCTTTGATATGCTGAATCTAAACATGTATTTAAATTTTAGATTTTTGGCCCAGTTTTCTAGTTGGTCCAAATTGGGGTCCAAAATTAAACTTTGTTTGATTTCAACAAAAATTGAATACATGGGATTCTTTGATATGCTGAATCTAACCATGTATTTAGATTTTTTATTTGTGGGCCCGCTATCAGATTGGTTCATATTGAGTTCAAAAGGGTCCAAAATTAAACTTTGTTTGATTTCATCAAAAATTGAATTATTGGGGTACTTTGATATGCCAAATCTAACCGTGTTTTTAGATTTTTATACGACCGCAAAAAATTTTGCGGTCGTATATTGGTATGACGTTGGCGTCGTCGTTGTCGTTGTCGTTGTCGTCCGAAGACACATTGGTTTTCGCACTCTAACTTTAGTTTAAGTGAATTGATCTCTATGAAATTTTACCATAAGGTTCAATACCACAAAAGGAAGGTTGGGATTGATTTTGGGGGTTATGGTACCAACAGTTAAGGAATTAGGGGCCAAAAAGGGGCCAAAAATAAGCATTTTTGTAACTTCCAGACATAACTTGTGTGTTAGTGTATGGATCTCTCTGACATTGTACCACAAGGTTCCATATCACACAG